ACATTAATCCCTCGTTCATCATGGGGGATCCATACCCTGAAGACCCGTGATAAGTGAAAAACTGCGAAGTAGGAAAAATAATACAAGTAATAAGTAGTATTTTATTTTATTATTTAAGTATATACTATAATATTAAGGTGTTTTAAACCCTTCCCACACTCTTGCAATATTCTAAACAATGTTTCTAAACTTTAACCGCTCTAAAAGAGCACAGACTGTCATGATTTCAGTTCTCAGCCTCCAGCTGCTCTCAGCCTCCAGCAAGCGCTCTTGGCCACGCCCACTTCTCCGCTCTGCAAGTTGAACAGCTGATAGCCGATTATCAGCTGCAGCAGGAAGTTTATCCTGCAGCAGTATGGGCTGCACAAATGTGCAGCATGTGCTAAATAATTCAGAATAATTTATTTTAAATAAAAATGCCATGCCGATCGTGCGGCTCATCCATCATTCAGCCAATAGTGTATCATGTCCAATCTTATTTTGAAAAACCGCGATAGAGATAGTCCGCGATAAACAAACCGCAAAGTAGCGAGGGACTACTGTATATATATATATATATATATATATATATATATATATATATTTTTTCCCCTTTGGCTGCTTCCTTCTTCAGGGTTCACCACAATGAACGAACTTGCACGAAGACCTGGCAGTTGATTTTACACCGGATGTCCTTCCTGACGCAATCACAGATCACCGAGGTACCACAGCCCTCTGTGTGGAGCAGAGAGATGCTATCTAGGGTGCCAGGGGGAGCAGATGGTGGGGGGTTAGGGTCTTGCACAAGAGAGCAGTGAAGTGGAACCACCCAAGTGGAACAAATTAGGCCAGCTGGGATTTTATTTTTATGTATATCTTCAGGAGAAAGCAGCACGAGAAGCTCAAGAAATACTACGGGCTGTTTGAGGAAATAGCGAAGTTGTGGAGAAACAAGGCCACAGTGGTCACTGGAGCCCTCAGGGCTGTGAAACCCAAAGTGAAAGAGTGGCTCCAATGGATCCCAGGACGAATCTCGGGGATCTTTGTCCAGGAGAGATCCTGGGCAGAAACATATCTAACATGTAACACGTCTAACAAGCTGCAACAAGCATGCAAAACATGTCAGCAGTGATTATGAAGGGTGAGTCACCATTACTGCTGCACTTGTGATCAATGGCTATTGACTTTCTGTCAGAGTTAGGGTCAGCCTGTTTTGTTCCAGTCTTATCAAGCAGCATCAGGAACAAACTGAGAATGAGACGCCAAGACAAACACTGATAGGTGCCGTACTGCTCCCAGCATCACATGAACACCCCTCAGGCGATTAATCTTATTCCCAGCAGCTTTAATTCTTCTGCTTATGAACTTTGAAGTACAGCATAACTTATTTTATTAGTCACAAAGAGGGAAACTGGCTGAGGAAGCAGCTGTCTTTCAAAAATAGTGTCTTTAGGTTCAAAAGGAAGATACAGGGATTGTGTCAGTTTTTAGGCCTTCTGAACAATTAAAGGGTGACGCCTGATGACACTGAATTTTTACAATTTGCACGTTTAGCTTTGTAAACTCAACACCTCTACAACTGCAATTTAAATAGCCAGAAGGCTTCAGCTAAAAACATACAATTAAACACAACTTACCATTTTTCTTGGTGGTAAAAAAACTTTTTTTGCTCATGGTAGTCCCATCGTGACCTTTGGCCTCAACAAAGACACTATACTGTGTCTCTGGCTTCAGATCCTTTAAAATGATGTTGTGGCTTTTTCCATCTACAGTAATATCTAAAACAAAAACATCACAAAACAGTTATGAATGCAAAATGTAAAGAAAAGTGCAAACCATACACCAGTTTGCAGTGAACTTACTGAGCAGTGATCCTTCATGCAGCTCATAGAAAACTGTGAAGGTAACAACAGCGCTGCACGTGTGCTGGGGCTTTGTGTCCCATTCCACAAAGGCACTTGTGTCGTACGTTTGCACATCTCTGATAGCAACATTCTCTGGAACTGTAGGAGTCATATATTTAAAATCCGACATTCAAGGTTGGAAATAATCATTAATTATGAGTTGTTAAAACAGCCTCAATGAATTACCTCCCAGGCTGGAGCATATCTGAAGAGCTTGTGTGCTTCGACCGGTTCTGTCATTGAGGAGGGGAGTCACAGTGATATTATACTGCGTTCTGTTCAATAAGTCTAAAGAAAAAAAGTGGGGACAAGTGTTTGCAGACAGGTAATTGGTCATTGAAGGATGGAAGGTACGATCTTTAAAAAATTATTGTAACAAACTGAGTCCCGTCAAGCAAAGCCAAAACAAGTCTTTCAATTCTAAATTTAAGTAGAATTCGAACCACAGAGAAAAATAAAGTCCACTCAAACTTGTGGTAGTTCTGGACTATGAAGACAAAAATACGATGAGATGTGAATAAGAGCCATACAGAACCAGAGAGGGTGGATGCTCTGATGAGAGCACTGAACTAATGAAGATAGCACAAAAAGTAAATAACTTGGTGTTTGGTTTAATAATAAACTTTATAATGTTGTAAAGCCTGTTTAATTAAAACATTTGTTGGGGAAATGCATTTGTGGGTTGAGAAGCAGGTTGCAACCATGAAAAACTTGCCAAATCTCTGCTAATTCCAAAAAGCTCATTTTGCTCTTGGCTCAGTTTTAGAGCTTTTGATATGTCAGGTGCTCACCTGTAAGAAACTAGTGGCAGTCCCACATTACCACAGCCATAATACATTGGCTGAGTGACAGCAAATACTGGTTGAGGGTGGGATGCCATCCTACAGCAGCGTGTGGCCAAGTAGGTGAGCAGCATAAGGAGGAGGTGCTGTGTATGGTTCTTCCACATTCTACTGATGCTACTTTGTTTTTTGATCACGTTTAGGTGTGTCTTGAGTGACAAGTTGTGCTTGTTAGTCTTCTGTCTGCATGAACATGGTAATTACTTCCATTTCTACAGATCAAATATGTTGGCTGTAGATGATGAGAAGCAGTAACGCACTGTCTGTGACTTGACTCACAGATTATCAACAATTTCCTGTGGGATCAACAAAGTTCTATCTTATCTTATCTTAAAATAAAAGTACATGCAAGGTGTGTGTTTTTGTCTGCTGATTTCTATTAAACTTCCTGACAGTACATACTTTATGTCATGAGACAGGAGTCAGTTACTTTAATGCAAGAATAACAAAAACAGCTAAAATGCACAACTATGTAGCTTTTTGGCCATTCCCCGACACCCCTCGAGAATGTTTATGGATCTCACCAGAGGGAACTGGCTGATTATTCCATCCTTATCAGAACTTCTATAGTACCTCCGGGAGCGTCCTTGGACACTCTCACACTTGTCGTCCCCCCTCCTGCGGAATGTATATGTCACCATATCTTCAAAGTTCATATGTCACCATGTGCTTGTATGTGTGGGATGTTTTTTTCATTATCAGGGTCTTTCTTCTCAGCCAAGAAGAAAGAGTTTGATGGGATTTTTTTTTTGCCTCCAAATCCTACGTGTTCACTTTCACTACTTTTTTCTCTGTCTAAACAAATCTCACTTGTAAATGAGTCTTCGAGGCTCAATGTGATTTATTTATCTGTCTAAATTCATTCATTCAGCCTTTTATTTAAACAGATAAGTCACATTGAGCCTAGAAGACTCATTTACAAGTGAGATCTGTTTAGACAGACAAAAAGTAGTGAAACTGGACACATGTAGGAATTGGAGGTGAAAAAATTCCCATCAAACGTTTTCTTCTTGCCTGAGAAGAAAAACTCTGATATTAAAAAACACCTCGCACAAACAAGCTCATAGTGACGTAGACATTCTGCAGAGGCGGGGGGGAGATGACGAGAGCAGTGAGCATGTCCATAGACGCTCTCAAGCGCACAGTAAGAGTTCTGATAAGGATGGAATAATCAGCCAGTGTCCTCCGGTAAGATCCGTAAACACTCTCGAGGGATGTCATGGAATGGCCAAGGATAACGTCTATGAGAATCCAAGAGTCCTGAAATGATGACACAATGTTTGTTTGGCTGGTTTCATCTGGTTATCAGTTGGAAATTCCTCAGGGAGGGGGTGATGAGCATCAGATCACATGTTCTCCAAGTGAATTCAGATAAGATGGTCTTCAAGGCCAGCCAAGTGAGCCAAATTCAGATAAATGCCTAGATGTTTTGGGGTCAGGCAGAACTTAATGACATCTGCCTTGAGTCTGTGTTGGTTCACTCAGTTCCAAAATGTCCAAATTACATGGCCACACCGATGGAACGTGCCTGAGTAAAATCCCCACGATCTGATCCATTCTGCTCAAAGCATTTGAGTCTGGGTACTCGAGGCACGAACCAAGCCATCATATAGGCAAACAGCGTGATCGGGTCCAAATTTGCTGCCAACAAATTCCTTGATTGTTGATAAAACCAGCAACCAGCCAAATCCAAAAAGCAGGAACCATTTATCGTAAATCCAATTAAATGTGCGTCCTTAAAATCCACAATGGCAGCAGAGATAGACACATCATTAAGTCTTCAAGTCGATGAGATATTCAGCTGCGTGCGTGCCAACAGGGCAAATCGGCTCGCCTAAAGCCTGTCTTCTCTTCGAAGAAATGTTATCAATTGTGTTGAGGGACCAACTGATCAAAAATCAAAATTGATCAAAACAAGTCCATAATTATGGTTCAGAAGACATGCAAGAGAGGCTCAGAAGCAGTTTCACACAGACAGAGCAGCAAAGCAAAGCGGAGAGGGGGGGGAGGGGAAAAGCGTCCAATCACGGCAAGAGCAAATGGTGAATGGTACAAAATAAAGATTGAATGAATTAATTAATTTATACTTGTGAAACATTGACTAAAACAATAATTTTGTTAAGCTTTTTGAAGATATTACACATATTGGACATGTTAGACTTTGCTAAAACATGTGCGGTTCTAAAATTTGTGGAAACTATCTGCTGCGAATGCTTGGGGAACACTTTCAATTAGTGTTCTGTTAGTTGTGATCCGATAGCACAAAAAACTGGGACCTGATCCTGCAGCTTTTTCTTTCTTTTTTTTTTAAAGAGTCAAGCTGTGAAGCAGTGCATTATGTCGTAAGCCACAGTTCTTGAAAACCTTTATAAACTGATGAAATTTTCCCAGGAAATGCTTTACACGGCAGCTTTTAACTCGCAGTTTCAGAAATGAATCCACTACTTTCTTCACTCGGTCTATAAACAATGACGTGCTGATGATCAAAGATAAATGAGAGAAAGCATCACTTCATGTAAGATTGTTTTCCCTCCATCATCCATTTCTCTATCGCACATTCCATTTGTCTTTTGCATCCGTCAACATACCAAACAGAGTTGCATTAGCGAATGTGCTCTTCTTCCAATCGTACTGATCTCCATTATGGGTCCAGTCAATTACGTAACCACTGACAGGCTGAACAGGCGCCGTCCAGCTGACCTTCGTAATGCCCTCGTGTGTTAAGGCTTGGATGTCATTAATTTGTGGAAGGCCTGCCAATGAGATTAACTCAATAACTTAACACCAAACGTACATCAAGACAAAGTGCTGCTTTAGTAAAACAATCAAAATGTTCATCTGCAGAAATAAAACTCACTCTCTTCAACATTTGGAACATAAACAGACTTCTCTGCAAGCAGGCCTTCATTGCTGGAAACTGTGAGGTAGAATCTGTGTGCACGTTGGTCCACTTCAATGTCACAAGTTGAGCTGCCACATGATGTATGCGTATAATTTCCCATGATGCTGTGCTTTGTGTAGGAAGTCTGTTTAATGGTGTAGGAAAAAGGCTCTTCACACATTGAAGGAATGCCCTAAATGAAACAGAGAGGAGTAAGATAACAGCTCAGGGTTAGTGAGATGCAAACAGTTACAATTTAAGTTTCAAACAGAAGAAAGAATGCTTCAAAACCAGAAGTTTTGTTACCGTCCACATGAGATGAACTTTTCTTTTTCCATTTTGCCTTTCTGCAGCCACTTTTCTCCACAGGTGCAGCCTGACGTGACGCTCTGGAGAACATTCAAATACAATACGCCAAAATTATCGCACTGGAACAGACGTGCAGACACACGAGTCTTACCGGACTGTGTTTGAACTAGAGCCAAGGAAAGGGAAAGCACGATCACTTTCACATTTGGAACTAAAAGCAAAACAGCCCGGAGCTCATAGCAACCACTGCAAACAATCCTTATCGCCGAATAAATCGCCGTAAGGTTTGGGGTTTCCAGGAAACTGTTGTGGAAACGACACTCTGGATTGCAAAACCCCTTTTGTTGTGAGTAAATATAACGGTGGGTTGGGCGAGATTTGCTAACCGTCATCAGGTTTAGGATTCTTTCAAACGGGATCAATATATTGTCCCTATAATATCAACTTTTAGTTGCAGGGTTTGCATCACAGGTTGGAACTGGAATATCTATTTGGCATTTTTACCTTCAAAACACTGCGAGGACACACTCAAAGCTCTTTCCTTTTGGTGTAAACTTTATTTACTTAATCAGATTTGTGTTAGCCATCCCCATGGTTGGATTTCTTCAATGATATGCATATTCAAACATATTTAAATAAAACTGACTGGACTGTAAAATTAGAATTAGGGTCCGCTTTTATTTGTGTTAAAGTATAGTATAATATTTGGGGACTGTCATTGCAACGCATAGGAGAGCAATGCCTTGCAAATAACCTATTATTCTACATCTAATAAGCATTTCTTTCTTTCTTTCTTTTTACTATTACTTTCACTGGCGATCGAAGTTACCATGGCGACATATTTTGCTAACAAAGATGCCATATTTCCCCATAGGAAATGAATGAGAGAAAACTCCTCACACTAACTGCTGCTGTCAAGTCACATTAGAGTGTAGAGCTCCCTGAAGAAAACAGAAACTTACTGTTGGATTTGTTTGAAACTCACAGAAAGTAATCATCAGATAAATGTCTAGAAGTGAATAACATTTGGAGCCATTTTGATTCAAGATGGCTGCCACAGCTACCTCAGCAAACACAAAAGTGACCATAACTCGGTCATTCTTTGAGATATTGAGCTGAAATTTAGTATGGTTGTAGCTGAGAGTGCATTGTTATACATTCCTAATGCAAATCAAATATCCAAGATGGCCACCTTAGCTAAAAGAGAAAAATGCGATAACTCGGCCATTTCTAGAGCAATTCAGCTTAAATTTGGTATAGTAGTATAACAATAGTATAATGATAGTATAATGATATAGTATAATGATATAGTATAATGATAAAGTATAATGATATAGTATAACGATATAGTATAATGATATAATATAACAATATACTAGTATAATAATTCCTATCGCATACTGAATCCAAATAAAAAGTCCAAGATGGCTGTCTTAGCTAAAAAGGAAACAATATGATAACTCAGCCATTTTAAGAGCGATTCAGCTGAAATTTGGTATATTGGTAGCTAAGAGCGACCCCAAACACATAGTACTGTCAAACCAACAATTTAAATTGGCAGCAGCATGGCAGTCCCCGTCAAAGTTTCTCCAGGAACTTTCTAGTTTCTCTTACTGTTTAGTTTGGTCTGAATAGTTTTGTCCGGGCTCCAATCGCTCCAAAGACCCAGTTCCTGGGCGCACCGGACTGAAATATTGTAGATAACGCACGATGCCACTTCTTTGATACTGATGCTCCGATTAGTTGTGGAAACCATCTGTATTGCAAACAAAAAAAAAAAGGTTTTGTTTCGAACATCTTATTTTTGAGGTTGTCTAAAAAAAGATTTCAAACACTCCAAATGTTTATAACATGGTTATACTGAATTCTTACAGTTGAACTTGGGGAATTTAATCAGCAAAAACACTGGCTAATTATGAAAATACAAGTTATAATATTACACCTTTAATAATAAGGAAGTCAAATAAATTGTGACAATATACTAACAAAAGTATTCTGAAGGACATAAATACATACATTATCCAAGTGTGTGGAATAGAATAATATATTTCTTAACCTACATGTTTTGCTTTAAATTATCACCTTCTATAGGAGTCGCCACATCAAATAAACATGCCAAAATATTTGGCAAATGTTTTACACCAGATGTCCTTCCTGACACAAACTGGGCTCAAACCCATGACCTAAGGACTACGAGACCACGACACTAACCACTGAGCTACTGTGGTCATTTCTTAACCTACATAAAATGGAGAAATTAAATAATGTTCATATATTGAATGTAACTACGTAAACCTTAGACGGCTTGTTGTATTAATATATGCATTATTTGTTCTTTGGTGAATGTAAAAACTCTATGGTTGTTTTTTGTTTGTAGAATGTGAGTTTATTTTTGTTTTCTTTTGCTTTCAGTTTGGAGCTTAAAAAAAATAATAATGTAGCATGGCATCTTCCACTAGTTATCTGTAGGGCTACCTAACGGAAGTTAATCCATTGCTAATGAAGGAATCTTTATGTAACATTTTTGTATTAATCTCATTTTTATCCTAAAACTATGTTAACCTTTTTAAACAAAGGGTAAAGAGTGGGAGCACAGCAGTTGATGGTTATGGAAAACATGCCAGGTGGTGCACGTCAATATACATCACTGCGTATGGGTCTATGTAACTATGAACAGCGGTATGTAGTTACGTAGACCCGTATGTAGTGACATGTAGGGCCAGTCTTCTCCTAATCTTCTCCTGTTTCCTGGATTTCGTGCAAAAAATCTGAAGCTCTTGACCGTGACCTCTGTAAGTGGCTTCAAACATCTGCTAAGTTCATGGGAAAAACCAGTGCAGACATGTTCCTGTTTTTAGTTTTCTACATTGCTTTAAATCTAGCAGTTTTTGTTTCATTTTATTAATACCATTTCCTTGTATCCGTTCGTCTCAATTTGTATGCTTTTTATGATTGTCTACTGTTGTCATCACTCGTTGTTAAAATTAGGTTTCTCTTGTAAATGAGTCCCCATGGCTCAATGGGATTAACCTGCATAAATAAAGGTTGAATGAATAGAGATCATATCTTTCCAGTTTTAGCTTCTCTCCATTCTCCATCCTGTCAAATTCAGAATTGAATTCAATATCTTACTTCTAACATACAAAGCTCTCAACAACCTAGACCCATCTTATATTACAGATCTTACTGTTCCATATTTTCCTAACAGAGCACTCCACTCTCAGACTGCAGGTTTACTTGTGGTTCCTAGAGTTTCCAAAAGCAGAATGGTAGGCAGAGCTTTCAGCTATCAGGCTCCTCGCTTGTGGAATCAATTTCCAATTTCTGTCTGTGAGGCTGACACCTTGTCTACTTTTAAGATTAGGCTTTTTTAGTCTTTCCTTTTTGATAAATCCTATAGTTAGGGTCGGCTTGGGTTTCATGAGCTATTCCTTAGTTATGCTGCTATAGGTTAGACTGCTGGAGGACATATAGTGACCACATTTCCTCAGATGAATAGTTTGCATTTGTAATTACTGTATTTCTATCGTAACATGTTATTATATATTTTTTTAATCTTTCTTCCTAAAGACCTGCTCGCCTCCATTCTGGACCTGCCATTCTGTGTCCGTTTCTCCTTCCTGTCCTCTCAAACCCAAACGGTCAAAGCAGATGGCCGCTTGTCCTGAGCCTGGTTCTGCTGGAGGTTTCTTCCTGTTAAAAGGGAGTTTTTCCTTTCCACTGTTGCCTTTGTGCTTGCTCAAGATGGGAGACTGTGACAAAGTGAAGACTCAGCACACTCTGCTGCTTCCTTAGATAGAGAACTTTTACTAATTGACTTTTTATGTATGTGAATGCTTTTGTACACTGCTTTGAGATGACTTCTGTTGTGACTTGGTGCTATAGAAATAAACTGATTTGAATTGAATTGGATTGAGTTGACATCATTAACGGCTCTTTGAGACAAACAAATACAGTTTCTGTTAAAATGCCATTGATTCCATCTCTACTGAAGCTGTAGGGTAAGTTGTGTCAGGAAGGGCATATGACATAGAACAGTTGCTAAATCTTTCATGCGAGTTTGCTCGCTGTGACGACAACTGAAGAAGGGAGCAGCTTAAAAAAATACAACATTTATTGTCATACATTTTCTAAAAGAGCATATTGTTTTTATCTTACCTTTGGGGTTTCATCATTTGGCAATGATGCCTGGATCAGAAAAAATACATAAATTGATTAATTAGCAACAAGCAGTGTTAAAAAAAACTTGAAAAATACAAAAACAGCTTTTATAGTTTTTTACCCTTTAATCTACATTAGTAACAGCAAAAAGTAACTAAGGAGGATATTTTTCTGCATGTGGCTGTTGACTAGTAGTCAGTAAAAGTTACAAAGCAGAAAAAGATACAAGATGAAAGTCAGTTCACCGGATCGCTCGGTAATTTTACACAGCAACACTTCGTTGAGCCAAACTAAACTGTAGTTACACAGACTATTATGATTTTTATTTATTTATATTTGTCTTTGCATTTTTTGTATTGGCTGATAATATGTTTTTAATATCATTATTTATTCATTAATTATTATTATTATTATTTTTATTTGCCTGTCGAAAGTCATAATATGGTAAATTCTCCATCTGTAAACTCTCTTATGATCCACTCAAAATAATTTAACTAAATTTCATTCACATTATGCATCATCACTTGACGGAGTATCATGTATATTTTTAATCACCCGAGCTTCAAGGTTAAGGTCACAAATCAAGGTCAAATGTTATTCAAGGTCTCCATGTCTGGTCCATTGCTATAGATGGCTGTATAATTGTTTGTCGACAGATTTATAATGTGCCGTATGCAAAACTCTCTCTTTTTCATGACCATATTTGAAATTCTGGCATTCATATTTGGTTTTAATTTTTTTCAGGAACAGTCTTCTGAAGTTCATACCTTGTAGTATTTGACTTGACAGAAGCACATGTACGCATCACTGCACGGTCTTCGCCACGTAACTTCCAGATGATCTGAGGAGGGAGTCACCTTTACCATTGGGGGGTTAACCTTTACTGAGGGAATGAATCAGCAAGGTGATTAAAACTCAAAGAGATCATTAGGGTATGTTTGATGAAAACTTATGTTACTTACTTATGTGTTCAGGGTCAAATTCAAAAGGATCGGAGTCCGCCTTCCATGCGGCTGTTCTAGCTCTGACAATAACAATGTGGTTATCAAAAAGGCTTAAATGTCCAGATAGACTGATATCTTTGTACGTGCAGTTCGTTACTCGTGAGATGCAAATTTCAGTCAGCGAAGGCGTTTTTGAAGATGTACTGAAAGACATACATATACTATTGTAAATATTTAAAGAGACTAAAGGGTCGTATAGAAAGAAAGATATTAAAAAATTGAAAGTACCCCATAAGTACGGTGTAGTTTATTTTTTTTGAAGGACTTGTAAGATGATCCCATCTGCAGGTGAAGAGCTCGGGGACACCAACTGACTCTTGGTTTTTATAATGCAACACACACGATACATTGTTGGGCCTTGCTATAAAGAAAAACACATAAAGAGATTGCGGGTAATCTCACAACAAGAATGAACAGCCATGTTAATTAGAGAAATTGCATTTCCTGCACAAATGCTGTGTGAATGCTTATTGCTGAAAAACTTGCTGAAAACACATGTAATTACGGTAGTTAAAAAAACATGCTGAAATGGAGCTGAAATGGAATAACAAGCCTACGTTAGCAGAAGAACGCAGAAAGAACACATATCTGCTTAATTATTTTAAAATAAGTAGAAATGATCATAAAAATTAGGAAATCAGCTAAAAAAATCTGAAAATTGCTAATTGCTGAAAAGTAACTGAAAAGGCAGAAAGAAGCTTAAACTACCAGAAGAAAGTGGAAGGCGCTGAAATGAGCTAAAAAAAAATGTGGAATTAGATGAAAAAGCTAAATTTGGCACAAACAGATAAAAACTAACTGAAATAGCAGAAAAAGCTGAAACTAGCAGAAAAAAGCTGAAGGGAGTATAACAAGCTGCAATTAGCGTAAATAATTTAATTAGGCTCAAAGTAGCAGAAATTACCAAGCAACACTTGAATTGATCAGAAAACAGCTAAAATTAGCTTTAAAAAAAGTAGCTGAAAATCTAGAACTAGCTTCAGTTAGCATAAGAAAGTAGAAAGAACAAGTTTGCCCAATTAAGCTGAAAGAAGCAAAAATGAGCACCAAAAAAAAGGAAATTATCTGAAAAAAGCTGAAATGAGAAAAAAAAACAGCTAAAAAGTAGCTAAAAAGCAGAAAGAATCTGAAATTATAAGAAGGAAGAGGAGACAGCACATTTTTGCTGAATTGGGCTGAAAACACTTGAAATGAGTGCAAAAATTTGGAATTAGCTGAAAAGCTATAAGTAGCATACAAACAGTAGCTGAAATAGTAGAAAAGCTGAAACTTGCAGAAGAGGGCTGAAAGGAGCATAATCAGCTGAAATTAACAGAAAGAAGTTAGAAGAAGCACAAAAATGTAGTTTGCAAAAGAAATCTGAAATGAGCAAAAAACAGCTGAAAAACAGCTGAAAATAGCTAAAAATAAAAGTTTAAATTTGCACAAGGATGCTGAAAGAAGCTGAAACAGAACAAAATGTGAAAGGAGCAGTAAACGATTGTAAACAGATCTAAAGATTGGAAGGATGTAACATGAGCTCAATTAATTTTCTATGAGAAAAAAATGGCAGGAAAGGCTAAATATTTAAAAAAAAAAAGCTAAAGTTGCACCAATACCAAAAGTCATAGCAGGATTGTGATGAAAGAGCTGAACATTTTGATATATGATTTGTTGAAATAGCACAAAAATTGTTGAACAAGAAAGAAGCTGAAAAACATATGGAAGAAAAATGAATTACAATAGTGTGAATGCTGCTTAAACATTCACACTATTAACAATCTAGAAAACAGTGACATCTTACAGAAGGTTTTGATGGTGGTGCCACCGAGTACTTGATGCGTACGTGAGCTGTGACACTCCAGCGTTGCACTCGAGTCGGTGACGTTCTTCAGTGACAACTCGGTGTGCGTTGAGTTAATACGGGTCGACAAAAGTTCACTGACGGGCTTGTTGTTCAGGGTCCAAAGGATTTTTCCGCTCACACATGAAGACTGGCACATTATCTTGACACTGGAACCCACTTCGATGTGCACGTCTTTGGGTTCGACATTGCAGATGTTGTAACGCTGGCCTGCATGGAATTAAAATGGTTTTGAAGGAAAACTTTCTAAATGTGATGGATTGTGCACTCTGTAAGTAGCACTGTTTTCTCAAATGCAGTCATTGAATGAAGTCATTCATGTAAGTAGAAAACATGAACAATCAGTTTCTGTTTCACAGAAAGGTTAGTGAGGACCACAAACACGTGCACAAAAACAAAACTCTAACAGTAAAAACTGAAATGGTATTATTGCAATTTCCTGCTTGAACTTTAGATCGTTTCCAAGGAGAGAAGTGGGGTCTAAAAGTATGAGAATCTAAAACAGGGCTATTCAACTGGTGGCCCAGGGGCCACATCTGGCCCACTGGTTAGCTCAGTTCGGCTAAATAAAAAGGTTTAAAAGCTCAGTCATCCAGGTAGATAAATCACAAAAAAAAGGTTAACACACACACTCGCTCTCGAGCAAGACGAATGCTTTTTCTTCCCTCTCCTGCCTTCCTCCTGCTTTTTTGCTCTTTGTCCTAGTTTCTATTTACACATCTTCTGAATCGTAAATTACTGCTATGGATCTGGACTTTCAACGCAGTTGATACATTTTTTTTCAACCAAGCGACAGAGTCCTGGAGAGCCCTCGTACCCCGCTGAGTCGCATGCAGCAGGGTATGTCATGGATCCGTGGGGAGAGTGGAAAATGTTGTGCCTTGTCTCAGGAGGATGCCGAAGATTTATACATCATTGGATTCTGCTTTTTGGCACCGTCCGATACCTATGTTATCGGCTATTAAGGAAGACGACGGCAAAGCTGCCGACCTTATGTGAAGGATTAGAGATTGGAGCTCTCAGACTCAGCTTATTTACGAGCTCAACCGTAAGATGGAAGCGATTTATAAGAATCGTAAGCCACTTGCGACTTCTGGAACTTGCCAGCATGTTGGGGTTGACCTTGGAGGAAGCTACTAAGCACGGACCAGCGGAAAGCCCACAAATCTGGCCATTTTGGAACATCGAAAGTACAAGAAGAACTCAAGGCTGATGAGAAAAAAACAGTCTGCCTGCACACAAAAAAACTGTGACTTATCTGAATCTGGTCTCTCTGTTCAGCCTTGAAGTAGGCCAACTTATCAAATGTCTCCTGGGGATGTGTAAACTTAGAAGGCTCTGCTCTATCCACCCCCCGCACACACACAAACATCAAGAACTTCTGTGAACGCTTATTGGAGCTGTACCGGCTGACATTAACATCTTATCAGGACTATGGTGCTATATGGAAGTGCTTCATGGACAAATCTCACCGTTTTGTCGTCAAGTGCATATATGTAATGTGTCTATAAATGTGCTGCTGGTAGAGTTTTTTGATGTCTTAAATCATGTCCGGACAAGGACAAGGTGTGAAGAGATCTTTTAATACCACTATTTTATCCTCATGGTCTTTCCTCTTTTCTATCTAAAAAATAAGGGGCCGTGCTCCTAGGAGCTGCAGCCACGTGCACTCTGCCCATCGTTCGGACGACTGTATGGAATTTAATGTTGCTGTACTTTGGTGCAATGATAATAAAGCTTGTTCTGATTCTGATCAGTCTGAGGCCTGCCAAGCCAGACCTGTCTTATAAATAGCACCTCCTTGATGCGTTTCAAGCCAGACCTCTGTGGAATTCCCAAAAACTAGCTGGCTTGAAACACATCAAGGAGGTGCTATTTATAAGACAGGTCTGGCTTGGCAGGCCTCAGACTGATGAAGTCTTTCGGATGAAAGACGAAACATTTCTCCCCCCCAAAAAACAGTCCAGATGACATGATTTAACCCTTTTTTGTCCCATCAGTAAGTTCATTTAAATTAAAACTTGATCTTAAATTGTAAATAAGTTACACATTGACATTATACGTTCTGAATGCCTGACCCCGAGCTGTTTACTTTCGGTCCTTGTTTTAGTTTTCCTGCATATGTTTGTCGTCACTCTTATACAGCTGAATTATTTTCTCTCCTCACCAGATTGTCTTCGTTCTTAAAGATCTGCCTTCCAGCCTAAAATCCTTGAAAGATCATTATGGTGTGTAATTGCAACAATTCAAAATTACGGATTAAGATTTACCCCAAAATTACCTACCTTTGCAGCCAACAGTAAATATAATTTACTACATCTCATTGCACTTAAATACGTGCTTATCTACCAGTTTTTGGTTCCAGTCATTTGTATTTCTTTACATTTAGACATGTGAAAGTGTAAACCAGAATGACTCCTGGTAATATTCTGGTTATGATCCAGATTTTCACGTTTATACAAATGACTTTGGTCACCATGATGTTCTGGCTAATGTGAAGTATTACAGAACATTCTAATGGGGGCTTTACACAGAACAGTCAGAGTGATGACATCCTCTTCCTCATATTCATTGGAACGCGGCTAAAAAGAGACATTAGATCTGAATAGTTATATGTTCTTGTTCTAGTTGTGCCGTTTTCTTTCCTCCAGTCTAAAAAGTCTGCATTAATGAGCCTCTTAGCGATTATATTTTACATCTGCACGAAACAGTTGTTTAAAACATCCGGTTTAAAGTTAATGTTTCAAACTGGATGGATGGATGGATGTAGGCTGCACAGCATATCAAAAATCGATCATAATAGTGTATCAGTAAGCACAATATCAAGATGACAAAATATTGCTTGGGCTGCAACAAATGACAGGTCATCACATTTCAAGTGCAATGCATTCATGTTCTGCTGCTAAGAACATATTTAATACAACATCACAATAATATAGCCAGTTTTTCTATTATTGTGTAGCCTTAAAGAATGGATGAATGATTAATGGTTTTCAGGAAATTACCATAAATGTATTTTTTTTTTTTAGATTAATCTTTTATTTTAAGTGCACAAGAGCAAAGCCCCCCCAAAAAAATCCAATCTTTTTGTTCAGTTAAGCTGATATCAGTGTAAACTCGCTCTTGCTGCAGGTGTTTTAACTGTCTGTCCTCTCCGATGTTGTAGTGTGCTGTACAAGGGACGTAACAAGACTGAACCAACTTATTAGAAGGTTCTGGTTCTGTGGTGGGCACGGACTACTATCTACTACTACTACGGCTACTAACAAGAACTCGCAGGTTTGAACACATTACTCCGGTTCTGTCCTCCCTTTACTGGCTTCCTGTGCATGTCAGGATTGATTTTAAAATTCTTCTGCTGACATTTAAGTGTGTTAATGGCCTTGCACCCTCATACCTCTCTGACCTCCTTCATCCTTATACTCCTTCTCGGACCTTGAGTTCATCAGACTAGCTGCTTTTGGCCGTACCAAAAACCAGGCTGAAGCTCAGAGGAGATTGTCGTTTTCAGTCATGGGCCCTAAACTCTGGAACAATCTGCCCATCAACATTCGACAGGCCACCTCAGTCTCTATTTTTAAATCTCTACTCAAAACACAGCTGTACTCATCGGCATTTAACACAGTGTGATCTCATTTGGTATTTCGTTGTTGATGACTGTGTCCATCCATTTTGCTTTTACTCCCTGACATTTAACGCAGGGTGATTTGATTTAGCATCTCATTGTTTCTAATTATATTCCATGGTTTTATGCTTTTATTTATGTTGCTGTAATATCATTGTTATTAATATTTGATGCTGCGATCTTTTTTGGTAAGCACTTTGATAACAGTTACTGTTTTAAATGTGCTATATAAATAAATGTGACTTGACTTGACGGACCTGGACTCAGCAAGAAGGGGGAGTAGTGGCGCAGAGGTTAGAGAAGATGGGCCTGTGATCGGAAAGTCGCAGGTTCAACTCCCGGTACTGTCAACATCAAAAGGTGGGTGGAAAAGGTGAAACACCCACACCTGCCTCCACCCTCATTCACCCCACTCTGGGTCCCTGAGCAAGGTCCTTAATCTCCACCATCTGCTCCCTAAACAGGTCTCTCTTGAAAACGAGTTCTCGTGACTCAATGAGACTACCTGGATAAATAAAGAGTAGATGAAAAAAATAAGAAAAAAGAAGCCGAGAGGAGATATTCTAGACAACACCGAGCACCCTCTGTAGAGTTCGATCATCAGGCAGAGGAGTGAGATTTGATGTCACTAACTTGACAGAAAGACTTAAGAACCCCTTTGTCACACACACACACCCTTCCCATACGGTCGGCTGTATAACACCTCTCAGCTGTGCCTGTTTCTAAATCTATTATATTATTCTATTAAGTCAGTAGTGCTCAATCCTGGTCCTCGAGCGCCACGACCCAGCATGTGAGATGTCTCTCTCCTTTGACACACCTGGAAGGAACAAGTGACTAACAGGCTTCTGTAGAACTTTAAGAGCTGATGAAGACCTGATGAAGACATGATGAAGAGCTGATGAAGACCTGATGAAGACCTGATGAAGACCTGATGAAGAGCAGGGAAACAACTAAAACATGATGGATAGTGACCCTCAAGGACCAGGATTGGACAGAACTGCATTAAGTCTACAGAATAAAATCAGTCTCTGTCTGTCTGTCTGTCTGTCTGTCTGTCTGTCTGTCTGTCTGTCTGTCCATCTATCTATCAATATAATATACATGTCTTTTTACTTTTGCTTTGCTTACTTTGAACTTTTTTACTTTTCGTGCAGTTGTATAGGCGTAGGAATTCTTATATATTATTATTATTATTAATATTATTTATTATTATCATGAATTATTAGTATTTATTTACTTTCTTAGTGGGGTTCAGTAAAAGTTTTAATGAAAATTTTTTAAAGGCAACATCTACACAGCAGACATTTAATGCTTGAACATCTTGAATAGCAAAAACATGCATGTTAGGCTGATTGGTAACTCTAAATTGTCCCTAGGTGTGAGTGAGAGAGTGAATGGTTGTTTGTCTCGTTTGTCTCTGTGTGGCCCTGTAATGGACTTGAAACCCGTCCAGGGTGTACCCCGCCCCTCGCACAGTGATTGCTGGACATGGGCACCGGCGACCCCCGTGACCCAAAATGGAATAAGCGAGTAAAGATAATGGACGGATGGATATCTTGAATAGGTGACAATAAATTAAAACACAAACATCATGAGACACCATATCCAGATTATTATTGAAAATGTTCAACTTTTGATGAGTTTATGTAAACAAGAAGCTAAAATTGACAAAGTTTCATGGTTTCATTTCGTTTTATTAATTTATGTACTTATTTTGGTTATTTGGATCGGCGCAAATTCACATTAGACGCTGTCTTATTCATTTAAGTTGGTTTCAAGGCTTTTGGTTTGTTTGTTTTGTTGTAAAAACACTACATCCTAGCACTTGAGACACTCAAAACTGTATTTTTTTTCTGCTGTATTATGTTATTTCAAACTAGAAACATCATGAGACTGTCAATCATCTGTTCCATAACATGTAGTCTATTAAAAAAAAATCATCTGGGAAGTGAAATACACATGTTGGAATAAATCAACTATTTTTTGAATCATTAAAATAATAATAACTATTATAATAAAGCTGATGTTTTTTCATTTTGTTTTTGTTATATGATTTAAAACCCATGATGAACATGAAATCAAAACAAAAGCAGCATTTCCTTCCAAAAACTCCCCCAAACTGACCGACTGAACTAGTTCATATAAAGTTCAGTTTATTCAGTTTATTCACACACACACACACACACACACACACACACACACACACACACACAC